GTCCTTGCACATAGCGACCTTACTGGGATCGTGGACGAATTGGCAGGTCGGACCTTTGTAGCAGGTGCCTAGGAAAAGCAGACGTGTTAGTTTTTGGAAATGCTGAAAGGGTGGAACATAGCAGCATGGCCCGTTGGAAAACAAAATACCGGTAGTTGTAAATCTTTTGCACAGCTCATTGCGTTTCTTAACCGTATGGTTCCTATGGCAAGGTCAGTATCAAGGTAGCCATCGCTAAAATCAAAACTCACTTCTTCATGGCCACAGCACCGAGACGGTGCAAGTTTCCATTTTTGCTTCGCACAAAGGGCACATCGGCCACTGTGACGCGCTTGGGAGTGTTGTTGGCAGTACTGGGATCATCTATGAAGGGTAAGCAAATTCGAGTTGTAGAGCGAAGAGAATACGCACTCGAGATACGAATCAATTTGCTTCCACCGTTTGCAACCCTGAAAGCAACATCATTCACAAGAATCTGGTGGCCAGCTGCAGGGTGCGCAGTGGTGGAAACCATTGCATTAGAACCAGGGCCCTCTGCATATCGAAGTACTTTTGCTTTTTCGTACTCGGTCTTTTTCTGTTCTCTAAGCTTTCGCGTTCGTTCAATATCCTTTGACCTGTCCTGTGTTTTCCGATCGTAGACGGCAGGGTTGATAAGCTGCATGTGGCGATCGTGCTTCACAACCCAGCCACTACCAGTCGAAGACGGTGTCGGAATTCCTGCCGGAATTCCTGCGCTGTCGCTGGAGCTTGCCGGAGTGGGGGAGGAATTTGCACTAGGAGTTGAGCCAGCACCCGCGGTGTTTAGAACAAGCGTACGGTGCCGGTGCGGAGCAGCTGCTCCTCGACGTCCCCGGCCGCGTCCCCTATAGTATGGGGCCCATCCTGGGTGAGAAGGGACGTGGCGAGACACATATTGAGACTGGTGGTTAGCTGGCTGGGTCCCTTGTGTCTTGTGGCGGTTTATTTGGCCTTCTCGGGTTAGCTTTATGTTGACAGTGAGCTGGTATTGACCGCACCTGCAAGTTGGCCAATTTTGGCCAGGAGATCATCGTTTTCGCTCATGCTGACTATCTGAAGCTAAATGGGGTAAGTGAGTGCCAGATACAAGAATCTGAGAGTTTCTCGGATTAAGATCAAAAGGTGGGGAATATTTCAGAAGAAGATCTGAGGCGGTGATGCGATGAAGCAGCAAAGACGCGGCCATTTAGCGCTGGTGTGATCCCGAGAGGTTTGTTTGTATAGTTTGCATATATTTGATGCCTTGGGCGTAAAGAGTGGCGAAGTGGTCCGTGCATAGGTAGACGAGGACGTCACCAACCATCAGGCTAAATAGACAAAGTATACTGAGACAGAGAAACGCCTCGGGGGGGCCTGTGCAGTCATCTGTGGCCAAAGAGTCATCGCTTCAGTATGAACACCCAAGTCTAGCGTCACTAGAGAGCTACTTCATCCCCGATTTAACAACCAATGAACTCCGCATCTCGCGTACAAGTAACCTCAGGATTGCGAAGGAAAGATCACTTCCTAGTGGACTCAGAAGCATGTTAATATGCGCACCCTACTTACACCAGCAATAATCAAGCAATGTGTAAACTAAACTCTTGCTGAAAATTTTCCTCGTGTAAGCAGACACACTGCCGCTATAGTTAGCAATATGCGGGCATATTGCTTTACCAGATGTCTACCAGGATATCTGACGCTTACACCAAAGCCAGCCGACAATATCGGGCTTACGGGTTACCGGATGGACCTACTTAGGTCACTGCTCAAAAGGTTGTCACTGTGAATCCTATAGAGGCATGAGCTTCAAATATACCAATTCAAGGCCATGAAGAATAATTTAGGACCATAGAGTTTATTGCGGCGGCCGTGTGATTTCACTCTGTCCTTGAGGCCAAGCATCATCTCATTCAGTGGCATCTAAAGCACAGATAACCAACCCTTCCCTAGAGCAATTCCAACCCAAGAGGTTTGATTCGCTTGAATCTCTTGCAATACCTTGTTTTATAGATACCATTAGTTCCATATCGGTTAGTAAAAGCCCATTTCCACTAAGTACCCTTTCCCCTACCGAACACTTCAACTACTGATGGATCAGCCTTGGACGAAAATTGTGACTATTGTTTAGGATCAAGTCCAACATTGTATGTAACTTATTTGTTCATTCCATTCTATGACTATTTTCCGAATTAAATAGACTCCTGGCCTCTCCTTAAAAGCCTTAACGCCAGGATCCTGCTGATGCAACATATGGAAGCCGTTATTTTGTCTGTATTTGTTTAAACGTTCTCAAAGTGAACGTCGTCCTGATCCGTGGCCATTCCAGACACTGGATCCTCCTCTGACTCGAAAGGATCGTCGGCTCCTGGTGGCAACTCTGCCTTTGCATTGTCCAACGCGTTCGAGTATTGACTGTGGGTCGCCTCGGGCTTCAGCTCCCAGGTCATAGCGAAGTCGCCAGCCTTAACAAGGTGTGCAACCATCTCCAAAGTCTGCTTGAGATAGGCCTCTGGCTGTGCCAGTCGGGCCTTGAGTGTCTTAAAGGGCCAGTATTTGAATTCGCGGAAGCACTGGAAGATAAGATCGAGAAGCTCGTTTTGCGGCATACGAGTGGACTTGTTCTCTTGTGATTTTCCTTTCGAAGTTCGTGTGGCTTGCTGCAGACGAAGTGAGTAATCTAGCCTCAAAAAAGAAACCTGAAATGGAAAAGACATACCACAAATTGACCCCTCTCGGTGGGAAGAGCATGGCGCGCCTGGATGATCTTCCCGGGAATCTTATCAATGAAGACAGTTTCCTTTCGAGGCTTCAAAGCTTCCAGTGCTCGCTTTTCGGAGATCCGTCGGAATTCTTCATTCTCCACGGGAAGGCAATTGAATTCTTCACTGACCGCGCCGGCGAGGGCAGTGTGTTCTAAGAATAGTGAGCAAATACAACTCCCCAGGTCTGCAAGGTGACATACTTGGTATCGTCTTTCGCACATAAGGCTCCCATCTTTTTCCCTGTTCCCGCCGCTTCGCCTCACGTTTCTGGGCTTCGTACAGAACTGAGCGTGTTTCGCCAAATGTAGCCATGCGGTTCTCGACACCGGGGATATCCTTCTCGGTGAATAGGTACGTATTGTGAGTGAGGTGTGATCCAGTGCCTGATGGGTCGACCGTTTGACGCTGGAGTGTGTAGTCCTTGGGAATGTCCCGATTATCTGGGCGATCATGTAGGCGCAAACTGACCTGAGAAACGGACGGATGTCAGAATCTGCCAGACACGCTGCATGCGTATGTCTTTCTACTTACCCTCTTGATGTCGTTCGGTGTCCCCTCCACTCTCATTGTACCAAGCTCAATCTCTTCATCATCGTCCAGGTGAGCCCAGTGCTCCCATAACTGTCTAGGCAGACGGGAGAGCCACACATTCTGGTTTGCTTGCGTGAAGTCAAGGTCTCCAGCATCCTCGTAGAGGTCTTCTTCATCGATGTCCCTAAGGGCGATATCCTTGCTGTCGGGGTCTTGCTTGAAGTACGGGCGATCCGGGTCTTGCTTGACCTGAGCCATAGTGGGTGCGGGATGGCTCGACGACGCTCAGAACTTAGAGAAAGTGATGGTGTAGGAAATGCGACCGTCGATGCGCCGCTGAGTTTATCGAGAGAGAAAGTGGCAGATGAGGTGAGAAGCGCGTTTGAGCGATAAAGTCCGCGCCACCCAAGTCTGGAGCTATTCAGTCAACCCGAAGTGGTAGGCGGTGAGAGCCAGCTCTCTTTGTATGTATGACGACTTCGACCAACCCTTCACCTTTAGATCTAATATTAGATGCATAGCTAGTACTTTATACGTTCGACTGTAAATATTAGCTACGTAGCTACGTAGTATTCGCTTGGACACCCAGAGCGAAACCTGAAGACCTGCTTGATTCATCCTCTCGTAACCTCTATCTCAGTGTCATAACAATCACATACTTGACGATTATCTGGCTACCAATAGCATGCCTTTGTCAATTGTGAGTGGTATGCTATACATTGTTATATGCATACGCTAATAAGATATCAGCTCACCGCTCCCCCAGCTTGGACTACAAATCCTGGCTCCCCCGAATACAGGGAAAACTGGAGGGTCATGACTCAAGAGGGTCAGACTTTGCCTGGTACTAAGGTATCGGGCAAGGTAGGCCGATAATGGAAAACGTATAAGGCTGGATAACAATTTTCCAATGCGACGATAAATTCTATTTGTGGGCGCGGATGAGCAATGATGTTGAAAAGATAGTCTGGCAAGATATCCGCGAGTTTACGAGTTTACGAGTTTAATTAAACAGCAAGGTCTTACGCATGATAGCTCTTTCTCCATCTACTGATCTTCCACATTGATTTAAGCAACGCTTGAAAACTCCTAAATAGTCATCCATGAAAGCTAGCCCTGTGTCCTATGCTCCTAATTTTGCTTTATTGATGCTTGCTAAAATCTAGAAGGGGAAGATGGTAGGTATTAATAGTGTTAATGTCGCATTAAATTGAGTATCAAATCAGCAGTCTACAGTACATTGGCTCGCCGAATACATCAGCAAATGGTGAGGAGGAACCACTCTGACCAGAGGTCTTTCTCTAGGAGGCCGAGTGTCTAGATATGCCTCAATGGCGTTTAATAAATGAATAGTCTACCAAGATATCCGCGAGATTGCCAGTTTGATTGAATAGCAACACCGTCTTGATGTTACTGGAAAATGGTGCCGATTCAAATCTTCAAAATTGTACTGGCGAAACGCTTTTGATCAGTGCGGCTAAGTCGGGTCATGGTGCAACGATCACTTTATTGCTGCAATACAACGTCCGGCCTGATATAAAAGTTAATACAGGGGCCACAGCCGCAGCTTGAGCGGCTCGCAAGGGTTATCGAAGTATATTGCGCCTTTTGTCGGGAAAGCGCGCTGCTTTATGGCACCTTCACGACCGCATCGAAACCCTTCAACTGCAACAGTATATCGAGCATAAAAGACAACCCAAAAAGATGACCGGCGTGGTGAAAGGTCTAGGAGAGGTGAGAGAGACTCCAAGTACGATGGGCGAAGCTTGGAAGCGTTTGACGAAGCGGTCAAGGAAAGGGAAGGGTAGAATGGAGAGCGATGATGATCATGATACTTCTCAGGCTGATGACGATGGTGACAGTGCTCATCGTTCTTGGGTCACTTGCACGAACTAGCTAGATGGTATAATGAGATAACATACTACAATATCCATATCATGCCAGTGAGGAAATCTACATGGGCAAGACTCCAATAAAAGAAAGCAGCCAATCTCACGAAGAAAACTAGGATATCCGTGAAGAATTCTCAAATAATACTCACTCAATGACCACATGATAATCTTTGTATTACAAATAATACTGTTTCGCAGTTATAATTTCATTTGGATATGCAGGATATTGTGTGTGAATTGAGAGCTATAAGTGGCTGAGAAGTAGAGACGCCAATGGCAAACCATCTCGGTCGCAAGACTCAAGGTACCCGAGGGCAGTCCATTTCTAGCTCTATATAGTCACTACTATGAGATCTTCAAATAATCTATGTATGGCCAGATAAAATGAGCTTCATTGTTCTGTGCCTGGGCTGTATACAACCCAGCTCCCCTTATCGATAACAGTCGGCCGTCCCCACCAGCACTCCGCGTCTAACAGCAACTCTCTTTACCACCTCTCCTTCACTCAACCACCAGTATGGCCTCCCAAAAGATGGTCAACGCCCTAGCGGGCATCGAAACAAACCCCCACCAACCAACAAAGCTACAGCAATATACCGACCTCCTCAATGAGATGGTAGCAACCTCCAGCGGCCACGAACTCGCCCAAGATCTAGTGTACTTCCTTGACTCAATCCTCAGCGAAGAAGTGAGCATCGTTGCCGCCCGCCCCCTCCTCGACGCCTTCATCACAGTTCTCCAATCCCTCACTCCAGAAACAAAAATCAAAGTCGGCCAACACGCCATCACCCTCCTCCAAACACGCTCCGCCTCAGTCGAAGAACAAGACTCGCAGATCCGCGAGATCCTCGCAGACGCCTACGAATCCCAGGAGGAATACACAGCCGCCGCACGCACCCTACAAGGAATCCACATCGACAGCTCGCAGCGTCTAGTCTCCGACGCCGCCAAAGCCCGTCTCTGGATCCGCATCGTCCGCTACTACCTCGAAGACGACGACACCACCAATGCCGAAGCATTCCTCAACCGCATCAAGAACCTCCCCTCCAAAATAGAAGAGCACGATGCAAAACTCTACTTCCAGCTCTCCCAGGCCCGCATCCTCGATGCCCGACGCCGCTTCCTCGACGCCGCACAGGAATACTTCAACGTGAGTCTCGCATCGGGCGTCGACGAAGAAGACCGTCTGACAGCTTTATCCGCGGCCATCCGATGTGCTGTCCTTGCACCCGCTGGTCCGCAACGCTCTCGCTCCCTCGCCCGTCTGTACAAAGACGACCGCACGCCCTCCGTTGAGGAATTCGGTATTCTGGAGAAGATGTTCCTCGATAGACTCCTGACACCGGATGAAGTTGCCGCGTTCGCGCAGAAACTCGCCCCGCACCAGCTCGCTGTTACGGCGGATGGAACGACCGTTCTCGATAAGGCGGTTATCGAGCACAATCTCGTGGCGGCAAGTAAGCTGTACGAGAATATCCACGTTGATGACCTAGGCTCGATTCTGGGATTGCAGGATTCGGGTGATGTGTCTGCTGGTGAGAAGGCGGAGGCTTATGCGGCGCGTATGGTTGAGCAGGGACGACTGCGGGGTCGGATTGATCAGATTGATGGGGTTATTACGTTTGATGCTGAGACTCTTGGTGGCTCCTCCGCGGGTGCTTCTAATGGGACGAAGCTGAGACAGTGGGATCTTGGTGTGCAGGATCTTGCGGAGGGTGTAGAACGGGTTGCCGCTAGTATCTCCGATCAGTTCCCGGTATGTGTTGGCCTTCGCTCTGACTGAGGCTGTTTTTCTTGCTAATATCTTCATTCTAGGAATTTGCCACTAGCCAGATGGTGCATTAAATGGTCTGCTCTGTCTCGTCTGTGTGTCCATCTGATGAAAGATCTACGAATTCATGCCTTTTGCCTCCTCTTGCATATCCTTTAGCCAGCCTGAGAAATGAAAAAGCAAGCTCTATTTGCTGATATTTCTGCCTCTGTTTCTTTGGGCACTGTATTTAATTATGAATGCTGTCGTTGAACAGCTACATGTATGACTTCATAGACCTGACTGTCAACTAACACGCTTCTAGATGTTTCGAGTAACTCGATTAATATATGCGAGAATCTAACTAAAAATAAATCAGGCTATATACAGCCTGAAAGCCAGAGCAGGAAACCAAATGTATAAAGTATGCAACAAGAAAAGTATAGTATGAATGGTATAGGGAAATCATGTTCTAGTCTTCGGTGCAGCCGATATATATCAAGAACAGGTAAAGATGGTAAGGGTAATATAATGCAAGAAATGCCGCGGCAAGTCGGATATGCGTGAACATAAAGTGAAGGAAAGTATGTAGAAAAGTGAGGGTGGATGGATGGAGTCGTTGGCGTCCCGCGAGCATATCAATATGGGGTTGGACGATCGTGCCCCTGTGTGGTCCTATTATGGATTCCAATGGGCGGTTTCGGTTCTAGCTATGGCTGCAAAGGGCCATCGCCGAAAAGTATCCCAGACAGAAGAGTCTAGTCTTTCTGCACAAGTTCGATCATCTCGAAGCAGATCAGCTTCTCTATGCTAAACTCCCATCACTCCAACATCCCGTCTCAAGAACAGAAGATGAAAGATATCATCACATCGTAACGGCGTAAGTCAACAGCCCACCACCTCAGTGGTTCAGCCTAGTAGTGGAGTCATTCTCCGGAAGGATAGAAATATCCGTCTGGACATTAATAATCCTTGGGTGGAGGTCATCACCAAGATGTCCCGGCGATTTACTCTCGATCTGGGCATTGTACATCTTAATATACTCCAGATCCGGCGAGCGGGGACTAGACTTTGACAAGAACAACGAGTTCGTATAATCGGTATTGATATACGCCGGACCGGTTCCATTGCGCGAGCTCTTCAACTTGAGGGCTGGGAACAGGCCGCGGATGATGGGTAAATTGGAGCAAATCAGTCCAACAGCCGGCTCAATATGCGTCCATAGAGTCGCCTGGTAGACGGTGAACGTTGGGTCCGTTGGACTAATCCAGAAGAGAACGACGATGCGGTAGATACTAGCGAAGCAGACGAAGGCACCCAGTGCGAAGACACCGTTTAGCGCGAGCTTATCTTGCCATGCGCGGTGGAGGTTCCAGATCATTGGGATTGGTAGGACTAGGATGACGAAGTCCATCAATACATTGAATGCTTGGTTGACGATGATGAATTCCTGAGCGTCGAAACATGATCCTTCGACGCTCTGGTCCCAGTATGCACGTAGGGGTCGACATTGTCCCGCGCATGCTAGGAAGATTCCTGTGCCCCATGCGGCGATGAGGCAGTTTAAACCAAAAGAGACTTTTTGAAACTTTGGAGTTGCGAAGAGGCGTCGGTAGAAGCAGATGATGGAGATCTTGATACAGGGGCAGAGTACGAAGTAGGTGAATTGGTTGGCGAGGAAGATCTGGGTGGTGTTAGGTTGGGTTGGATGTTGGGTTTTGTGGGATACATACCTTCCAGTAGTTCATGAGGGTTGCGGGAGAGAGATCCGCGATGTGTGCACCATTGCCTCCAATAGCACACCCTATGATAGGTGTTAGTATTGAATGAAATTGTGATCCGGCGTATTCACTTACAAAGAATCAGCTCGACCAACATGGCAATGAGGAGCCCCATGGAGACCATGCTCAGATAATCATCGATGCCGAACCCGACTCTCCTCCGAAGACGAGCGACGACTCGCAGGACCACGGAGATCAGACATAGACTGACCAAGACCGAAATGATCTCAATCATCTGCCATCCCTTCGTGCTTGGCGCCATTGCACTTCTCGCAACAGCCTGGTATCAAAGGAGTGTGGGGTGAACAGAAAAAGGCAAGGTATGTGTGAATTTTCAAAGAAAGAATGGGCAACACATGATCGGGCGCGTCCACTGATATAAAACATGTACGCGAGTATCCAGACGAGTGCTGGTACTCAAAATTCCACATTCCACTTTATCCACATCCCTAGTGGCCGATCATTGTCCTGATAGGGATCTCGGTTTTGTGCGGGATATATGTACATGCAGAGCCACGTGAAGGATGCCTGCTGACAATAATAGTAACCCTTGTTTCTGGTTTAGGGCCTATTATCTACAGTTGAACAGTATGGTCAAGTATTCTTTACATGTAGCAATGGCAAAGTGTACAGTATTCCTTACATGGAAGAACATACAAAATAGGACAGTGGATCCCACGTGGAGATCATCGAATGAGGAAAGCTATCCCTAATCTGATATCGAGTCATGCAAACATGGAGAACCTTGTAAAAACTATTACGACTATTGTTTTTATCCTCATTCCCTAATATATTCTCACTGTAAACAGACTGGAAGCCACCGGAACGCCACCAGGTCCTCATCCACGGCTCCGGATTTCGGTTAGAACTGACATGTAGATCCCGAGCTCAATAGCGTAGAATAGCGTGGATTTCTGCGCTATTAACTTGTCAGGTGTTTAACAAGCGAAGATATAGAGGTATGAAGTACTTGGTCCTATACGAACTATACATATGCATATCGTATTACTGTAGACCGCTCATACCAAGAGGTTTTCAGAACAAGGTCCTCTCAGGCACAATGGCAGTGGGTCTAGTTGTCAAAATCTTCTTACCTCATAACGTCGATCACTAAAACACCCCTGAACGTGCCAATTTGATGATGTAGCCTTGGTACAGGTGATCCACAGTGATAATCCGTGGAAAGGCAGAAAAGGCAGAAAAGGCAGAAAAAGCAGAAATGAACTTCAAGCCAGTCAAATAGTGCATAACACGGCATATCGGACCAGTTAGCATCGTCAATGTGATCCCAATTCGGTTGGAACTGACATGGAATAAAGTCCAAAAATATTTCTCAATATTTTTCCCATTAGACCTGCATACATCACACAGTACTCTCTACCCTTCCCCCGCCATGACAATCCCAATCGAACTCGCCGTCCCCCTCCTAATAAACGGCCATGAAGAAATAACTCCCAAAACCTTCCCCGTAACAAGTCCCTACACAAATACAATTATCTGGACCGCCTCCGCCGCAACACCCCAAGATGCTATCCGCGCCGTCGAAGCCGCCGACGCTGCCTTCCCTTCATGGTCGCAGACAAAACCAACCGCGAGGCGCGACATCCTCCTCAGAGCTGCCGATATCCTCGAGTCTCGTATCGACACTAATGCCGAGTACATGCGTCAAGAAATGGGCGCAGACGTAGGCGCTTCTGCGGGGTTTGTTGTCCCGCTTGCAGTGCGTATGCTGCGTGAGGTTGCGAGCCGCATTACCTCCATCTGTGGCAGTGTACCTGTCGTCGAGACGGAGGGACAGAGTGCGATTGTCTTCAAGGAGGCGATGGGTGTTATTCTGGGGATTGTGCCGTGGTGAGTATATTCAGCTCTGATGTGTCTTTTTCGTTGCGGGGAACGGGAACGGGACCGTGATATTTCCATGGAATTCATTCAAGACGCTAAATTATTCTACAGGAACGCTCCGTACGTCTTCGGCATTCGCTCCGCTGCCTGCGCCCTCGCAGCTGGAAACACAACCGTCCTCAAATCTTCCGAATTAACCCCCCGCTGCTACTGGGCCATCGGCCGTGCCTTTGAAGATGCCGGCCTCCCCGCCGGCTGTTTGAATATCATCCATTGCGCCCCGCAGGATGCCCCCGAGGTCGTGAATGCCATGATCGAACACGAGGCCGTGCGTAAGATCAATTTCACTGGTAGCACAGCTGTCGGTCGGAAGATTGCACGTGCCTGCGGTCAGAACCTTAAGCCTTGTCTTATGGAGCTGGGCGGGAAGAATAGCTCGATTGTGTGTCGTGATGCTGATTTGCAGACTGCCGTGCAGGGGGTGTTGGCAGGTGCATTTTTAAATGTAAGTTTGGGCTACACTGCATCTAATCGCACGCCGAATATCTACATCTACATCTATATCCATGTCTACCTTTGGCTTCAATATCTAACCCAATTTCTTTCCTGTTTAGTCCGGCCAAATCTGTATGGCAACCGACCGAATCCTCGTCCACACCTCCATCCTCCCATCTTTTGTAGAAGCCCTTCAAACAGCGCTCGCAGCCGGCGCCGCAGCCTCAGCCCAACCCCCAACACTTGTCAACACGGCCTCCAAAACTCGCGTCGAAGCCCTTATCGCCAGCGCCGTCTCGGCAGGCGCACACTTCATCTCCGGGTCTGCGGGCAGCATTCCGACCGACTCGGGGGTGCGGATGGCGCCCGCCGTGCTGGGCGGCGTGACGGAAGACATGGCGCTGTGGCAGGAGGAGTCTTTCGCGTCCGTTGCGGCGTGTATGCCGTTCGACAGCGAGGACGAGGCGATCCGTCTCGCGAATGGAAGTGGGTATGGACTTTCGGCATCTGTTTTTACGGAGGATCTGCGGAGGGGCTTGGCAATGGCTAGGCGGATTCAATCTGGGTATGTTGTGTTCCAGACCCGAGTTTCGATTTGGGTGAGTTTGTGGATCTGTGGATCTGGTTTGCTGACTTAGTTACAGAGCGGTTCATATTAATAGTATGACGATCCATGATGAGCCGGCTCTTCCTCATGGCGGTGTGAAGAATAGTGGATGGGGTCGGTTTAATACTGATGAGGGATTGAATGAGTTTTTGGTGACGAAGAGTGTGACTTGGATGGATTAGGATTTATTTTGGATCTGACATCAGCGTTTTAGTTTTTGATTTTGTAATACTGTTTAGCTGCACATGTATTGCACGTTTTCTACCTCTCAAAGTCCACATTACTATCTTTTCCTTTTTGATGCTTATAGCCCACTCGTCTCGTCCGAGAAGTATACTTTCTCGGTAGGTATTGGCCCGAGCGACCATGGAGCAGATTCCAGATGTGCTAATGAAATTTTGAGCTTGGCAAGAAGCTGATGAAGCACAGATCTAAAATTAAGGCATTCTCTCCAATGTTATATAGCCAAATGCTTATATGTCGGTATTTTGAATCCGAAAAACACACGGGGACATATGAGGTCATCAGTCCCACTGAGGCAATTCCTATCCCCGGATTAGGTCAGCCCCGCCTTTTCGGTTCGCCAATCAAAGGTCACATGTTCCTCATCCGGCAACTGAGTTTGCCTGTTTCTGGTATTGATATTTCCATTTGCCCAGGTGATTTGGATATCAAAGTCGTCATTACATACATCCATACATCCATACATTCATGAATGTCTTCCTTGGGTTTACATACCCTATAGGTCAAATATAAGACATTGTACTTTCTTACTTTCTCCTCATGCACTCGGGAATTCCGGACCGCAATTCTGATTCCGAGGCTCACACCTGTGAACAGCTATTACTGCAAGTACCGAGGAAGCCGGAATTCAATGTCCCACTGTTTCTCGGTTTTTCAAAAACATAGCATAGATGCTAATCTAATTCCGGTGACTTTCCGACCGTATTTTTCTATCCCTCAGGAATTCTGAACTGGAATGTGGTATGAAATGCATGTGAAAAATTAATTCTAGACTGAACACCTAACAGTTGGAAGTTAAATATATCACATGTGATCCCCTTCCCCCTTCCCCAGATCGTAATGAAACAGGCAAACCAGAAGTAGCCAATTAGTATTACAGCGGGTACCCCATCTTTCATCTCCCCACGTCTTTTGTGCCTCGGCCGATAGACACCGTCGGCATCTGACCTCCCCCGAACCCTTTAAGATCCTTCCTCGCTCTCTCCTTTTCTGTTTTTCACTCCATATCTACCTTTATCTCTACACACATAATGGCTGCACCTCAAGTAATTGTGGTCGGTGGTGGCCGTAAGCATCTCTCCCCGCATTCTCCCCATATCCCAGCTGACCCTCTCCAGTCTCCGGCCTCAGCGCCGCACACACTGTCTACCTCAACGGCGGCAACGTCCTCGTTTTGGACAAGCAGGCTTTCTTCGGTGGTAACTCTACCAAGGCCACCTCCGGTATCAACGGTGCTCTCACTCGCACTCAGACCGATCTCGGCATCCAGGACAGCGTCAAGCAGTTCTACGAGGATACCCTCAAGTCCGCCCGTGACAAGGCCCGTCCCGATCTCATCAAGGTCCTGACCTACAAGTCCGCCGCCGCTGTCGAGTGGTTGCAGGATGTCTTCGACCTCGACCTCACCCTCGTCTCCCGTCTCGGTGGACACACTCACCCCCGCACACACCGTGGCCACGATGCCAAGTTCCCCGGTATGGCCATCACCTACGCCCTGATGCAGCGATTGGAAGACCTCGCCGAGAAGGAGCCCGGTCGTGTCCAGATCGTCAAGAAGGCCAACGTCACCTCCATCAACAAGTCCGGTAACAACGTTACCGGCGTGACCTACACCGTCAACGGTGAGGAGAAGTCCGCCGATGGTGTTGTCGTTCTCGCTACCGGTGGTTACGCCGCTGACTTTGGTGACACCTCCCTCCTCAAGAAGCACCGCCCCGACACCTTCGCTCTGTCCTCTACCAACGGCACCCACGCTACCGGTGACGGTCAGAAGATGCTGATGGCCATCGGTGCCAACGGCATCGACATGGACAAGGTCCAGGTCCACCCTACCGGTCTCATCGACCCCAAGGATCCCAACGCCAAGTTCAAGTTCCTGGCTGCCGAAGCCCTCCGCGGTGAAGGTGGTCTCCTCCTCAACGCCGACGGCCAGCGCTTCTCCGACGAGCTCGGCCACCGTGACTACGTCTCCGGCAAGATGTGGGAAGAGAAGGAGAAGGGTAAGTGGCCCATCCGCCTCGTCCTCAACAGCAAGGCCTCCAAGGTCCTGGACTTCCACACTCGTCACTACTCCGGCCGCGGCCTGATGAAGAAGATGACCGGCGCCGAGCTCGTTGCCGAAATCGGCTGCGGCGAAGCTGCCCTCAAGAAGACCTTCGACGAGTACAACCTCATCGCCGATGGCAAGAAGAAGGACCCCTGGAACAAGCGTTTCTTCCACAACATGCCCTTCAAGCTCGACGACGAGTTCCACGTCTCTCTCATGGAGCCCGTTCTCCACTTCACCATGGGTGGTATCGAGATCAACGAGCACGCCCAGGTCCTCAACAGCGAACAAAAGCCCTTCGAAGGCCTCTACGCCTGTGGTGAACTTGCCGGTGGCGTCCACGGCGCCAACCGTCTCGGCGGTTCCTCCCTCCTCGGCTGTGTCGTCTACGGCCGTGTCGCTGGTGACTCCGCTTCCCAGCACCTCTTCCAGAAGATCATCACCACCGGCTCCTCCGCCGCCTCCCAGCGTCTGGGCCAGATCTCCCTCCACATCGACCCCAGCACCCCTGGCAAGATCTCCGTCGAGTGGGGCGGTGCCGCCCCCGGCACAACCCTGCCCGCTCTCGCTGCCCCTGCCCCTGCCGCCGGCGCCGAGGCCCCCGCCTCCAAGCCCGATCCCGCCAACTTCCAGATCCCAGAGACCGAGTACTCCATGGAGGAAGTCGCCAAACACAACACCAAGGAGTCCCTTTGGGTCGTGGTCAAAGGCATCGTCCTCGATCTCACCAACTGGGTCGATGAGCACCCCGGCGGTGCCAACGCCCTGTACAACTTCATGGGTCGCGATGCTACCGAGGAATTCGCGATGCTCCACGACGATGAGGTTATCCCCAAGTACGCCGCTCAGACTGTGATCGGTCGTGTCAAGGGCGAGACCCCTAGCCTGGAGCTGTAGAGGTTCTATAAAACCCTTCCTTCTCTTCATGTCTCTTCTCCCTGACGACCGCTCTCTCCTCCCTCGATGAAATATGATCCTCCAGCGTGTGATCTCTCATACCCCGTTCCGTCTCTTCTGTTGTTTCTTGTGCTGGCTTTGGCACGCTTGCTTCCGGCCGGGATCCAAGATCCTGCTTGGATCAACTGTTCTTGTGTAACATACATGGCTTATTTTGGAATATATTGTTTGGAATTATAGATTTTGGATTTGATGTAGTTGTAGCGTAGCTGTGGTGAGTTTGCAAACTGCAAACTACCCATCTGTTCTAGGACTTGGGTGTCGTCTAGAATCTTGGAAAGCCCTGGCACACTCAGTAATCAAAAGACAGCTAATCCAGAATGCCGATAACTGCCGGGGTAGGATGCCAATAACACCAGGCCATCGTTATACAATCAGCCAAATACTACTCCCTACTACCTCTCGTATATCTACCCTAATATTTATATATAAATGTACATGGTATATCAAAGCCAAAACTAAAGCCCTACAAGAGCACGTAACCTATGCCCCCAACACGGAGTCAATCACCCCTTCATATGCATCAGAATCATCTTCAACCTCCTAACAGCAGGCCCATCCTCCCCCAATCCCTCTCCAGCCCCCTTCTCAATCTCAACCCTCGCCTCCTCAAGCACAGGCTGCAAAAACCCCCAAACCTCATCATGATACCTCTCCTGAACACCAACCCAATCACCCGCACCAGGAAGATTCATCAAAACAGAATCGCGAAGCGAAGTAGAACCAGCCGTAACTGAAGCGGCATCCCCTTCCCCAAACCCAATCCGACTCCCAGCCCCCTGACTCAAAAACACATCAATATCAGGAACAAGACTCGCCCCTGTTAGCCGTCCCTTTTTCTCCTCCTCCAGCCCCATCCGCCGCCGGAAGGAATCAAGAACCTCCCTCTCGGCTGCAGAAAGCGGGACCGGTGCAGCAGCTATATCAATGTCGGTATCAGGGACCGTCGTCGGGTCCTCGAAATTCGGATCGAAGTTTGTATCAGATAGCAGGGAGACAACGGCCGAACCGTCATCTGTGCTTGGGGTATATGTCTTCGTCTCGTGTGTGTGCCACTGGCGCTGCCAGACGGTTTCGAGTTGGTGTTGAGTTGGGTCATGGGCGCGGGCTTTGCCTTTCCAGGTTGAAGAGGGGGTTTGGAGGTCGTGGTGTGGTTGGTTTGCCGTTGTAGTTGTGGTTGGTTCTTCTACCATTCCATCATATATATTTCGCTGGAACTCATCTTCCGTCAAGGTGGGTAGAGCGAATCCACCCGGTGTTGGATCGTGTTCGCGGAAGGCTTGCGCTGCAGACCCAGACGCAGGTCCAGATCCAGAACCGAGACCTCCATGTTGCTGTGTATTTACGGATAGATCCCTGCTTGTCTGTGTGTTTGGGAGGGCGGATGAACCGGCTGGTTTGCTGCTCGTGCTTGATGCTAGGGTGTGGGCTATGTCAGAGGTCGGGTTGAATGCGCTTTTCGCTAGGCCTGTTGCCGAGGTTTGGATGCGGGATGCTAGCGAGGCGGGGTTGGGTTGGGTGTTTGAGGTTGACGGGGCTGGGTTAGTTTGGGGTTTAGAGGGATTGCCCCGCTTGTTCTCCTGGTTGCTCATTGGGTTTGGGATTTTGCCCTGGCGGACTTAAGAGGTTAGGGATTAAGAAGGTTGTGGTTGTGTAGGAATTGGGGTCGGGATTGCGATTCGGGATGGGGTAGCTCTTGTCGGTGTTCGGCTTAATGTGTCTGGGCCGGATGATGTAGGGAAGCATGTGAAGGTCGATTGGGATGAAGGATATAGAGTAATTTGGACTTGAAATGGGGGAGACGGTCTATTCTATAACAGTTAATAGAGTTACTGGGTGTTTTTAGTTATACGATCTTAAAATTAGGCTCATTTAGAAATATGACACAGCTCGGGATGTTCAGATATATACTTTTAGATCTATACTCATATAAGGATGCATTCGCAACATTAACATGCGGAGACTTCGGATATGAACACTGTCAATTACCTTCCTTGTCCCTACTACTCTAGATATATAACATATGATATATGTTAATGCTTAATTTGGCGGAGCCCTGCTTGGGCCTCAAGGATGACGACAGCGGCGCATAGTACAGCCTCGGGCATATTGATTAAATACAGATTATAAACAGATAGGGTCAGCTCAGTGTAAGCAACTAGCTAGGTAATAGCCCAGAATTCCAATTGCGATTCCACCTTCCACCGTTGTCGGTATACGGGTTAGATGGCCGGGGAGGGGCGCAAAAGGTCAATGTTACAGTCGGTAGCAGTGTTGATGTCAGTATGTTCCCAGGTACCTAGATATGCCCGACCTAAATTCATTGAATATTCAATCTCCTGAATCAAATTAATTAAATTTTTTTCATGAAATTCAATACTACATAGAATACTTCCATATTGACGCCCAAAGACTGTCCAGTGGTATCTCCGTAACGAACTCCCCACCACCGCCTCAACTTATCTGGGCAACTTCATCTCATTTTCCTCTTTCTTCATCGCCCCCGGACCAAGTACGCAACCCCATCCCCCTCTCAGATTTTTATATTCTGGATGTTCTAACCGTCGTTTCCTCAATAGAAACTTTTCTCTTATGATCCCTCAAGCTCTGCTGCGGGTCCACTCATAAACAAGCACATTTGTGTTCCAGCTACCTTGCCATCTCATTCGGCAACAGCTCTTCATTCCTCAGCTCGTCTTTCCAACTTGGATAGTTCTAGCTGTTCCCCTCCCTGCCCCTCTTTTCGCCTTACCGCCATCCGCTCTCGACACCCCTCTCCACCTCCGGTGACCGTCCTCTCTATTCCCGCTTTATCCAATCGTTATTCCCATCCGACCGAATTGTTTCGTGTCGGCTATCGCGCCTACATCGCTTCATCCCGGATACTTTGTATCGATAGAGCTTTCGGAGGCATTTGCCAGCCTTTCCAACCCGCCTTTCCGTTCCTTCTATCTTGGTGCCCTTGTCGCGTTCAAGGGCTCGCTAGAACGTGAAAATGGTAGACAGAGATCCAGGCACCCCTACCTGGAAGTTCACACAGTAAGTTTGTCCCGGACCAAACCTTTCAGACATTCCCACCCGATGGTTTCTATTTTTCTCCCCCCTCTTGTCCAAGCGCTATCGACCCAACGTCCCCACAAAGAGTCATTGAATGGTGGCTAACTTGCTTTCAGATGCTTCGGCGATAAAGGCGATGTAGAAGATATTACAGAAGGTAATTGGCAGCCTCCCTCGCACACGGCCAAACCTGGTCAATTTCTACAGAGTGCATCGACTGACACGCGCTCTGCAGCGGACATCATCTCGACCGTCGAATTTGACCACACTGGTAACTATCTGGCCACTGGTGACAAGGGAGGAAGGGTGGTGTTGTTTGAGCGAAACGAGACGGTAGCCCACCCCCTCCGGTCTCTTTTTTTGTTTTGTCGATTTTTCTGCTTTTTTTGTTTTGGTTTGGACTAATCACTGAACACAGAAAAAAACCTGCGAGTATAAATTTCACACAGAGTTCCAGTCACACGAGCCGGAGTTCGATTATCTCAAGTCGCTAGAGATCGAAGAGAAGATCAACAAGATAAAATGGTGCCGACGACAGAATGCATCCCATTTCCTCCTCTCGACGAACGACAAGACGATAAAGCTTTGGAAGGTCTTCGACAAGTCACTGAAGGTGGTCGCGGAGAACAACTTATCGAATGAACTCACTCCCGCGAACCCTGTTGGGGGTGGGGGTATGGCTCGCGCACCCCGCGTATCCTTCAAGGACCCCTCTGCGCTCAAGCTGCCTCGTCTGACACACCATGACACTGTGGTTGCCGCTGTTCCGCGGAGAACATACGCCAACGCTCACGCGTATCATATAAATAGCATCTCCGTTAACAGCGATGGTGAAACCTTTATCAGCAGTGACGATCTCCGAGTGAACCTATGGAACCTCAACATCCAGGACCAGAGCTTCAACATCGTGGATATCAAGCCAGCGAATATGGAGGAACTCACAGAAGTTATCACTGCGGCCGAGTTCCACCCGGTTAGCTGTAACTGGTTCATGTATGCCAGCTCCAAGGGCACAATCAAGCTTGCGGATATGCGGCAACGGGCGTTGTGTGATGAACACGCCAAGCGTATGTACAACTCGGGAATTGCGTCAATTACCTTTTTACTGACTGTTTTATTGCAGAGTTCGAACAAGAAGAGGATGCCTCGTCCCGTTCCTTCTTCTCCGAGATTATCTCCTCCATTTCCGACGTGCGATTCTCCAACGACGGACGGTACATTGTGTCCAGGGACTACTTGACAGTGAAGATTTGGGATGTCAACATGGAGCGCCAGCCAATCAAGACCATCCCCATCCACGAGCACCTGCGCCCTCGCCTCTGCGATACATACGAGAACGATAGCATCTTCGACAAGTTCGAGGTGGTCTTCTCTGGCGATGCGGAGAACGTTATGACCGGCAGCTACAACAACAACTTCATGATCTACCCCACAGAGGAACAAAAGGATACGGAGATTGTGCTCCAGGCAGACAAGTCGGCATTCAAGGCAAAGAAGGTTGGTGTACCAACGCCGATGAGCAAGGGTAACGGAAAGAAGGCCGGTTCGCGATCCGGCAGCCCTGCCGGCCCCGGCAGTCGCATGAAGAAGGAGACCGATGCCGACCAGATCGACTTCAACAAGAAGATCTTGCACATGAGCTGGCATCCATTCGAAGACAGCATTGCAATTGCGGCGACCAACAACGTAAGTGTTTTTTTGTCTGTCCAAGCCCCAACAATGCTAATTGCGAATGCAGCTCTTTGTCTTCTCCGCTCTTTAATCGCACCAGGTACCGTCGTACCATCACAAGGCCATTATCATTTTCCATGGACAGGCGCATCTGGGGTTGGATCGGGTGGCTGGAGGGCCTTGAGTGAACAGGCAAGATATGAAGAATGAAAACCAAGAAAATAATGATAGCAGCAAGCCACAGGTTCCATAATCACAGGACTTTCCCTTTCCCCCAATTCCCTTATCTCTGCTTCCATTGTGGAACTCATCTGAGGGTTGCAGACCTAGTTTTCTTTACCTATGTCCTCTTTACTCTTTTTCTGCTATGGCAGCAGGTTTGTCAAAGGCGTTGTATGGTGGCCAACTCATGATAGAGAATGTCATGCCTGTTTTGAGGGCTTTCCATAGTTAGTACTGGAAGACTATAGATTTGGTAGCTAACTAGTATTAAGATGTTAGAAATTCTAAGCAGAACAGTATGATTTTATGGGTTATGCGTTTAAGTTCAACTTTATGTTTGGTATCTTATCTGACTAGTTAGGGGGAAAAAAACACCAAGAGTGATACCTCCAAAATGTATGTGAGGACCCTGAAATGATGCTGAGATGAGGCCACTCAACTCGGCATTGTTGGCCAGCCCTTACCCTCCGCCCCTTTCCGAGGCTTGACAAGCGAGAGGTACCCCAGCCTTCAAAACAAGCCTTATTATGTAGCTTGATACAGGGGATAGACTACAATATGAAAAATAGACTACCACACTATTCAGACCATTGACCTCCATTCATGACCCGTGTTATTCACATCTGTACCTGTTCACCCCATGCCTGTCATGTTTTTCTGCCGGCAATGGCGGGCGATGACGAAGGCGGACTGAAATTGACCTATCGCACAATACCAAGCATGACCAATGTAACATCTACCATTGACGGAGATCCTGCCAATTGATACCAATAATACCGTAATGAATGAATTTTAAATACACTTCGGAGAATTAAATATCCGAGAGGCACACACTAAACCATAATAGGTTAGCTCCGGACAGGAAAGCCTCCACTGGAGCCCGCGATCGGTCGCGCGCAATTCCATCACCCCAGTCTGTGTCTCCTTGTCTATCATACTTCTCTACCGGTTCTTTCTTGCTGCGTGGAGTTGGTTCCTGTCTTCTTTATCTGCAAGACTCCAGGTCATGCTGTGACCCTAGTGCAACCAGAGCGTTGCCAGTCGATTCCTACACAAGAGACTACGAGCTCCAGCTCTTCGATTACCGCACCCTTACTTTTTCTCCCCTCCTCGACCCTTCTTATCCGTCAAGCCTCCCTTTCTACTTCTCCCCTACTGGGGTTCGTGCATAAACCATGAACTCTGGAAACGATAACTGGCACTCCTCCGGTGGACCGCCGTCGCATCCTGGCATCGATCAAATGAACCAGCAGCCTCGGCCCCTGGGGTCATTCAGGTACGAGCAGTCGCCCAGAGGTCAAGTGTCTTGATATGTATACTAAATCCGATGCTCTTGCGCTTCAATAGTCAAAATCCTTCTCAGCAAGGCCAGGGTTCGCAGCCCTCGGGCCCAGTACTTCCCCCTCCAGGTGGTGAGTGCCTCTTGTGTGAACCATGGATTTCCCTGTGGGAATTCAACGATGAAAAAAAAACACATTTGAGCTGACTGATCTTTCTGGTATAGCACCCTACCATCCTAGTCAGTCTGGTGGCCATTCTCTTCCCGGACTGGCAGAATTAAGCCAGACCCACGGAGGTCAACATCAGCCTTCCGCGTACGGCCAGCACCCAGCAGGCCCGTCGCATAACAGCGGCCATTCTC